AAATCATCCCTTTGTCCAGCGTATCCACGCTATGCACACTACCTACCAGTTAGTCACTTAGGAGCCCTCTTGGTTATCAGATTGACTGTCTCGTGTAGTGTATTTGTAGTTCAGTACCATCTGTGGTTTCAGGCATCTACTAGGAGTCGTGGAACATATTCCATCTGAATAAAGGGGGATTATTGTACAGTATATGGTTGCTGTTGTTAGGAAGAGTTGACCTGAAGATGAGATAATTCATAAGAGACCCAAAATTGAAAAAGCTCTCTTGTAGGAGAGAGAGTATACTTTTCTGTTTGGCACAAGGAGTAGTACTGTTAGTAGTAACTTTGGGAAGAAATTTTTATGTTATCATACATAGAAGATCTTCTAATAGAGATGTTCAAAGATGGAGTAGACCACTTGTCATAGAAACAAGCTGGAGGACTGATTGGTTGCATGTTGCAGATAGGATTCAAGTGTTGAGGGACGGTTGCAGAAAGTGAACTTTTAAAGGTTTCATTTAGCCTAGCGAGTCAATCCCTTTATATGTATTCAAAGTATTCTGATATAAATACATCATATAAACCGCTGATAATATTTGCAGTCTTTCCTCAGGCAAAGATTCAGTGAGAAATGAGAATTTAAAAGATTGTGAGCATTTCAATAACTAAGTACTCGAAGCCTGTTTGTTTTTAAATTACAACATCCCAGTGTGATGGGACATAGCAAGATATGCATTGTAGCTTTTACTTTTAATTGGAGAAAGACAAGACACGGCCCCAGGAAATGTGTGTTAGCTGGAGAGAGCCTCGGAGATAGTTCTGATCTACCCCAGTGTGGAGTCAGACATCATTTCACTAGGCTCTGAATCCTATCATGTCATGTATCCCCAAATTTGGATGCAATGCATAGATGTGTCATCAGCATGTCTTGAATAAAATAATGGAATGTTTATTATAATCTTTTCAAACGTCAGTGATCATCAAGGGAAATGAAAAGATGGCAATGTTGAAGAGCATCTACTAATTCCTACGAACTATGCTGGGCACTGTGATATGCAAGACCGTTAAAAACTATTACCCAAAACTTTTTTTTTACTCCAACACATCCCTGTCTCACTGGAAATGGATTTAGTTACCTTCTGTACTTACACATTTTCTAACAAACCTGGGCCATGTCACCAGACTATTGGCCTTGGCCACAGTTTTACAATCTATATCTGAAAACCTGTTGTATAGGTAGAAAAAAAATAGATTTGCTGTTTGATTTTAATGGCACAGTCTCTTTGAAAGGTCATCTCTTTTATTAGTTGTTAAGACTAATTCATTTTATTCTTCCCAAGTAATAGTTAATGTTAACTTTTCACAAGGAAGGTAATATGCAATCATAGAATGCACAATTACTTGTATCCCCGATCAACGTACCATTAATTAAAAAACAAACAAACAAAATCTCATTCCTATTCTTGTTTCCACCTTCCTTTAAAATGATAAAAAAAAAAATCTCAGGAAGTCAGATTTCAGGCTAAGTTTGGGTTCAAATATTATGTATTTTGTAATTTTTAAATAAACACTTTTAATTTTTTTTTAAATTTCAACCTTTATTTTAGATTTGGAGGTACATGTACAGGTTTGTTACATGGGTATATTGTGTGACAGTGAGGTTTGGGGTACAAATTGTGTCATCACCCAGGAAGAGAGCATACTACCCAGCGGATAGTTTTCCAGCCCTTGACCCCTCCGACTCTCTTTCCTCTAGGAGTCCCTGGTGTCTATTCTTCCATCTTTATATCCATGTGTACCCAATTTTCAGCTTCCACTTAGAAGTGAGAACACGATTTCCTTCTTTTTTATGACTGTGTAGTATTCCATGGTATATATGCACCACATTTTCCTTATTCAGTCCACTGTTGATGGGCACCAAGGTTGATTCCATATCTTTGCTATTATGAATAGTGCTGCAATAAATATGCAAGTGCTTGTGGGGGTTTTTTGGTGAAACTATTTATTTTCTTTTGGCTATGTACACGATAATTGGATTACTGAGTCAAATGGTAGTTCTGTTTCAAGTTATTTGAGAAATCTCCAAACTGCTTTCCCCAGTGTCTGAACTAATTTACATTCTCACCAGCAGTGTGTAAGCATTCTCTTTTTTCCACAGCATCATCAGCATATGCTATTTTTTGACTTTTTAATAGTAGCCATTCTGACTGGTGTGAGATAGTATCTCATTGTGGTTTTGATTTGCAGTTTTCTGGTGATTAGAATAAACACATTTTTTTTTAACTAAAGCAGAAAGCAGGAGATAACTTTTACATTTTATTTAGTTTCCATGTTGTCTTCTCTGTAATGAATGTCTCTAAAGTGAAGTAAAATTTTGTCATACGCTACAACTACATATTTGCTGAATATGAAATTATTTTTCTGTGCACATTACGTAGTTATGTGTCTTACTGTGTTGTTAGCATTTTAAAATTAAACTATTTACTTGCAGAGAAGTACACATAGAATGAGAAAGTGACACATTCAGAGTCAGGGTTTTAATTCTGGGTTTTCTATTTATTAATAACATGACTTTGAGGAGGTCATTTTATTTGCCTAGGTGTCAGTTTTCTTATCTATAAAATGACAATTTCTAATTCAGAAAAAGGTTTTGAGGATACTCTGTACAATGTGTGCAATCATTTTTTTTTAACTGAGGTAACATACAATTTTTTTTCAATGACAAATCAGAAATAATGCACAATGTAGATATCTTTTATTGACTTGGAATCATGGCTTCACATATGTATTGATCCAGAGAAAGGATCATTTTAGACCATTAAGTTTATCTCCCCTCTTTTAGCTCTTGAAAAAGCTCAGCTATAGGACAATGTAGAGACTTCTGAAAGTCACACAACAAGAATAAATAGCTTAAACAGTAGTCAAGAATTCAATTTTTTAGATGAATTGGAAATGTCTGCAAAATACAGTGTTTAAATGTTTCTATCTTACAGCTAAGCATGTCATGCAGTACATAGGCTAACTGTAGAAACGATTATTTTTATTAGACATTAAATACATCACCAGTAACTTTTCTGAAGCCATTATCAAAATAATTGTTTTTCTCACATTTTTACTGGCAAAGTTAAGCAGAAAGTGTTTATCTGTATTATACTCTTTTATGCATTTTAGCCCAGGATTGCTCTTGACTATAAATACATGGGTAAAGTCATTTGGAGTCTTGAAGCCATTCACAGTTGGCCTTTATATCAGCAGGAAACAAGATATTTATCATGTATTCACCACTAGTGTTTCTTGAGCACCTAGTAGGTGGAATAATAATAGCGAACATGTATTGTGCTTTTTGTGTGCCTGTTTTAAGTACTTTATATGTCATTTAAAGCTCACACTCACTCCATGAAATAGATGTTATCTTTAGCACTTATTTTGCTAATGAGGAAATAGAGACCCAGAAAATGTAAGTATACTGTCAACCTTTGCAAGCATGTGAAGAAGCCAAGTCCATGAGTACAACTCTGGCCATTTTGCTCCTGAGCCTGTGCTCTTAACCATTTGATTATGCTACTGGATATTAAAAACTCTATATTTGGAGTATGGATATTGCGGTGAGTGAAGCAGACAAGATCTCTGCCTTCATCAAAATAGATAACAATACAAAATGTAACTAAGTGCAGACTTATTGCTGCAGCAGTAAGTTTTCAAAAAGGGAGTAATTAGATTTTTATAGTATGGTAATGGATGGCTTCACAATGAAGGGAGTGGAGAAGAAAGTAGTGGATAAGCTATTTCCCTAACCACTTATGACATATTTAATAAGCAGAATTTTAAGGCAAAGCACGCAGACAGAAAAGTAACCATGATAATTAAAGGATGGAAGAGTAAGGGTAGTTAAGTTTAGTTGGCATGATTGGTATATAGACAGTGCTTTTTGTCATGCCAAGGTCTATAAATTAGGACTATATTAATTCATGCCTTAGCCTCTAATAAAGTTAAGCTGGGTTATTCTTCTAGCTAAAGCTAGAAGTAGAAGACATCGGGTTATGGTCGTTTTAAATGCAAGCCTAGAATGTTTGTGTTTGTCCTGAAAACAATAGGCAATCACAGCTAGTTTTGAGCAGACAGGACCAATTAAAATGATATTTTGGAAACATGGATCTGACTGTGGTATATATGAGGAAGAGAAGCAAGGTGGCCAACCAGAAACTATTGCAAAATGTGTGTTTGAAATAAAAACCACTGGTAAATATCAGGAGGAAATGTCACATGTGAAAAAAATGATAGCTGGATTATTTAGTTTGTGTAATTATAATTTCTTAGAATTAAATAAGAATATATTCTCATGCAAGTACTCCCAAATTTTTGGTGTTATGTTTTCTGACCCACTTTGTTGGTCTGCTTCATTAATGAAGTGGAGGTAAAACCATAAATGCATGTGAACAAGCTGAATATGTGCATTTCCAAAAATCACTCCAAGGCATGCTGATGTTTCAGGTGTTAATATTCCTTATTTAAAAATTGATTACACACCCTTAATTCTTTTACCTAATGCCCATTTTGTCGATTTGCCAACAAATAAGAGAAAAATTTTGTTCTTTAACATATTTCAGCTCTCTAATATCCAAGGTGCCTAAAAATAAATTGTATTATTGAACACAGTGTGACTAACAAACTAGTGAAATATAACTCACCAAGAAACTGAGATTGTGTCTATCTTCTTTAGTAGTCAAGAGCTACCACATAAAGGTCAAAGTGCTAATTATGCCTTTGATAGTTGTGCAGTGGAAAGAATTGTATACATATGTGAAGTATAGGTAACTGACAAGCAGCTGAAGATTAGATATGAAATTGATTTTATTAGCAATACCTTTAAGTAATTGCACTTTATGGCTGATTTGTGTGTGTATGTATTTGTGTTTAGGTAACATACAGTTTAAAAAGAAAAAGGAAGATGATTACTTCATGTTATTATCCATATAGCGAATACTATTTAATAAAACCAGTTCATATTCTACACAGGTATGACATCAAAGATGATTACACACTAAGAATTAAAAAGACCTTGAGTACAGATGAAGGCACCTATATGTGCATTGCTGAGAATCGGGTTGGAAAAATGGAAGCCTCTGCTACGCTCACCGTCCGAGGTAAGAGATTTAAGATGTCAAAGATAATTGAACCAGGACACAAGTATTTGGCTAATTTGGTAAGTGAACTTACAATCAAAATAGTGAATTATGCTGTTTTGTTGTACTAAAATGCCTAGATTTTGTGTCCTCTCTGTCATTAATTGAAATAAAATTATTTTCATTATTTGGTTCCACGTGATGATAACTTAAAAGGATTAATTCTTATTTAGTAAATTGCTTATATGGTTTAAAGTTAATAGTTTATATGGCTTAAAAGTAAATCTTAAAAACAGAAAAGATCTATACTACTCTTTCCATTTCCATTGCTTTCAGCTACTGACTGCTTTTAAATGTCATCAGTTTCGAAGGTACTCTCATGTTTTCTGTTTACTAGTTTGTCACTTTGTCACTTTATACTAGTAGCATACTGTTTTGAAGTTCTTTTTAATGTCGGCATTCAAAACAGCAATCTGAAAAAACTAACAATGCTTCCAAAGGTGAAAATGAATACAGAGGCACTCTCCAGACTTGAGATAATCTGATGTAGAGACTGATTTGTGAAGTTCAGTGGCCTTAAATAATTGAAATAGTCAGTGCTGCTCTAGTAATAACTTTCACCTTCTGAGTGTCATGCACTTCCTCAGCCATGGAATAATGTTCACTTATAGACTCACTGGAATTGCTTGTAAGTGAAAGAAAGCATTGCTTAACTTTACAGTGCACTAGAATAAATTAACCGTCTTTTCAGTGGAACTTGTTGATCACGGGAGGTAAATTATATAGTCCAAGGTACCAAGTAGTACCAAGTGGACACTTAACACTTACTCTTGAAATAGACATTACCCATGGCATCATTCACACTCAGAGAAAATCAAACAAAGATAGGCGAGCACATCCTTTCTCCCCCTACTAACTGTGCCTCCTTCTCTCATCCTTCGTGGTAAAGCGATTGGCTGCATGCTTTCTTCCAAGTCTCAGTTACATCTCACCCCACTTAGTCATACCTCAGACCCTTGTGCAGCTTTGCTCCCAGAAGGTTTCAGAAGTTTAGGAGAAAGGTTTGGAGAAGCTGGAAGTGGCAGGAAAGGTATCAGGGATCCTCAGGTTAGCTTTTTGTGTGGTAAGAATAAGGGTTTTTGCCAGATTTATGATTTCGGCTTCAAATCATGAAAAACTCAGTTACCTCCAGGTTGTTATGAGGAGACAGGCACTTTGCACACCTGGAAAAATGTTGGTGCTTTTCATGCTGCTCAATTGCTCCATCCTTATTTCACCTAATCCATTTTTTTTCCTCTAGACATTCCAGTGTGAATTTAGATACAAAACATATTAGACAAAATTGACAGCTAGTTGCATAAAAGCACTCTTCATTACTTCACAGGTCATAAAGGACTATGATCATATATGAATTGAATATATAGATATATATATATGGATTATGTAGGATGAAAACCTGATAACCTTTGTAAGGCAATGAACACACTTGATTTAACCCACACTCTGCATGGATGGCTTCATACGTCTGTCGTATGTTTGCTGGGCAGCTTATTGCAAAAACAATTCACTAGACCAAAGTATCCCCAAAGTTTTCTTTTCCTTTTTTTTCCTAAAGTAAATGGAAAACAATAATAAACAACCAGCCAATAAACGTCCCACTGGAAAACTATTTGCTGACTAAACGAATGGTGAGAAAACGTGAGGAGTTGTTTGTTGGTAGAAGCGGCAGGGCTGCTTCTATGCTGGAATGCCTGGGCGAGTGAGACTTGAAGTGGTCTGTTTGCCTTAAGACCTTTCCCAGCTAATTGTTTTCATAATTTGCTGAAAGTTTCAGGCTTAACATTTCATTTAACAAAGCATGCTCCTTTTGTGGGGATGTCTGAAGCTAACTTACCAAACTAATAGAAAACATTGTTTTTTTTCAATAGGGTTTATTTTTTTAAATCAGCAAACCTTAAATGGCCTCTCCCCTAATCTATATCCTGTAGATGGATTAGAATGTTTATTCTTTGTGGTAGGTATTTATCACCTCTCTAAGACTGAAACCTCAAAAACTGTGTTTAAAAAGATCTCCTTAACACAATGTAATATAGAGTAAAATACTGTTTAAAAACATTTATTTTTTACCATTAGGAAAAGCATTTGGGTTTTCTCATGCTAAGAGATTAACAGGAAAAAAAAGACAACACTGTTATCTATGACTTATTTTTTTTCTTTGCTAATTTTTCTATGCACATAAATGAAATGTGCAGCCTTTCTTTGGATTGTTTTATTAGAACAGGGTCAACTGACCCAAGAGGCCATGTCCATTTTCATCCATTTAATGCAGAGACACAGTTTAGTTTAATTTGCTGATTTTGAAAACATCCACCTGCTGGTTTTTTTCTGGATAAAATGTTGCTAATGTAACAAGGACAAAAAAATGTATTGTGATGTTTCTGCTAAAACTTTATCGTAACATTCACATTAGCCAGTTGGGGAAAATGTAAGGGAGTTAATTGTCAAAATTTGAAACAGATCTACTCAGTTGTTTCCCATTTCAAAAATATGGTTTAAAAAAAAACTATAAAGTGAGGCGGAACATCAAGAAGCTCCCTTTGCTGACTTGGCAAATGTAAAATTAGGAAGAAATGAAGCCAGTCAACAACAGACCTCCTTGATTAGACTTTTCATTCTAATCAAATAATTTATTACTAATAAAACTTTTTAAATGGCTTAAAAATGACAACACAAACTGCATATTTGCAAGCACATTTTCCCCATTTTTAAATTTTTAAATTTGCTTTGCATAAAGATCTCATTGGAAAAATAATACTGTTTCTAGAGCAATAAAGCCTTAATGTTTTGGAATTATTCTATCCTAAAATAAGACAGACATATATTTTATTCATTTAAAACATGATTTCTCACCACAGTTTCTTTTTTTTTCTTTTGTTAATATCCTACACTCAAAACGCCTTTTCATTTCTAAAGGAAACATTATGTTTGAAATTCAGCTTGAGATGGCAAGCTGAAAAGTGCAAATTCAAAGATGAAGAACAGAAGTTCTTTTTCTACTGGACATTTTGCCAGTGCAAAATTAAGAGAAACTTCATCTGTTAGAATAAGCCACAACTTCACATTGTTAGTCTGTTATCTCTTTTTGATAGTTAATCTTGTATTCTGCTCCCCACTCCCCTGCAAAAAGAAAGAAATTATGGTACACTGGGTAACTTACTCCTCTTTTCCTCTAGCTATAGCAAACACACCATATATGTTAGGACACATTAGGGTTCCACTACACCAGGCTTTTCATACCACTGCTACAATTGCCTTATTGCCTATTGTCTGAATCTTTCCTGCTTTAATTGTGAACAATATTGTGAGACCACGGCTGTCATAGAGACAACTACGTTTTATGTTTATGGATTGCACAGAGCTGGTATTATGATGTATCCGTTAAGTGAATATGTGTAAATACGTGTTCAGTGGTGGTTCCTATCTTGCCCAGAGAGCCATCATCAACACAAAAGCATTGAGACGTTCCAGAGTCACATTACATTTGCGCTAGAACTGTATCTACTGAGATATGGGCGAACCACTGTGAAAAAATTCTGCTTTTAATATCAGATTTCATGAAATTTCCTATACTACTCAGCATATTGTTTCTTCATTTGGATAACGGGATCACGTGTTTTACAATATTTGTCTATTGCTTTTGCATAAAATGGTTTACCACCTAAACTGATAGAGTGTTATTCTTTTTAAGGAAAGGATTATGAAGCCCATGTGTCTCTCTTACAATGTCTTTGCATTAATAACAGGGGCAGCCTATTACCACTGATTTTAGTGATTGAAAGTTATGGTATAATAAAAAAATGATAATTTGTTGAAGCAGCAGTTTGAAAGCCGTTCTCAGTGTGAACAAGAATCAACTTGTCAGTCATTGTTCCCTGCCCTCTGCCAAAAGAAGGAAAAAGCTTAACAGTAGTTAGGGAGCTACTGAGTTGAAATCTCTAAGGATGTTCCAACCTATTTGTTATATTTTCATCCGCCCTGTCCATGGATGAAAAGTGATGTGATCTTAACTTATTCCTGACTGAAAAGCAGCGTCAGGGGCTTTTCTGCAGTCCTTGTAATGGTTCTGACTAACCATGCTTAAAATCCAATTGCTATTTAAATCAGACAGCGAGGGCTTCTTTTATTGACATGACATTTGCTAGTCTGTGACTTGAATAGTGATATTCATCAGGTTTTTAACTTTGGGGTAACACAAGGCTGTTTAACTCAAGATCTTTGAAATAATAACTATAGTAAGTGATGATGATAAGACTTTACCTAAAATATCTCTCAAATTGCTTATAGTCAGTCCTCGGAGTCAAAGTAATTATTTTCCTAGAATTATATTTATAACGCTCAATTTTATCAGACCCAGACATCTTGGTCATACCTGAATTGTGAGAATAGAAATCACTCTATTGTCCATACTTAAATGTAACATTACACATCATGCATTCTGATAATTTTTCTTTCTTTTTTTTTAATTTCTTTTTTATGTTCTCACCACACCATTGTAATGTCTACAGCTCGCCCTGTTGGTAAGTAGCCATCCTTCTATCCACTAAGCATGGCTTTGCACAGTGCTTCATAACTCATGCGTAGTAAGATTTGACAGAGTGGAATATATTTATTTTACCCATGTTAAAATAATACTTGAGACTGTCTGCTCTAAAAGTTTCTCCTGTTTTTTTTTAATCACATTGATAAACAATTTTGTAGTGACTTTTGCTACGTAGAACTAAGTAGGTAACAATTTTTATGTAAGAGAATAAATGAATGATTTATATTTATGGACTGCTAGCTTTTCTTATAGGAGAAAAATATATTGTGTTAGGATACAATAAAAAAGCATCACTATCCTTTTTTGTATGTATAAAATAATCAATTATTAGTTATGTTTGATGTTAAGATAAAAAGTTATGAATTAAATTAAAAAGTTCTATGACTTTACACATTTCTTTTAAGTTATGCAGAGTCCCAGTATTTTAGGGATATTTTTAACTGCTGCATATGTATTGCCTGCATGCCTATTTAAACAAAATTAAGTAAAATGCTTTAAGTACATGCTTACCCTAAGTGGGGGAGGGAGAGTGGAACTGTGTTGTTTGGCATGAAAAGTTAGTGTTTGTGGTTTTAATATATCTTATTTTTCATTTGGCTTTGTGAAATTAAAGTAAGTTAACAGCTTGCTTTTGCAGATATTTAAGTGGTAATTATTTGTAAACATTTGGAAGATAAAATATTTCAATTCATTGACTTAATAAGCTTTCTGCATCTCTTTTAAGCTTTAGTTTAATCCACCAATAACTATGTTTAAATAAAATTTGGTAATTGTGTTACATGTAAATGAATAGATGGATGCATAAACGGATGGATGAAAGAGTGAACAAATTTAGTACACTGCTTCTTCAATATACCAAAAGATGCTTTAATAAAACTTACTCAATTTTGAGGGCTTTCTAAATTGTCCATCTAGCTTCAAAAGCTTTCTTAATGTGCTGGCTTGACATTATTGACACTTGATAGATATGTTGGTTCAGACTCACACATTTTTCCCCCTTTGGTTGAAACAGTCATGGACTTTATTGTTAGACGGTATGTTTTCACATCGTCAGCAAATACGGTAAATATACTTTGGTTTCCCAATCTGACTTTCTGATCTGGTGTTTCTGAGCAATACTCCCTTTTGATTAGTAATTTAATATCCCTTATCCTCAGTGACGTCCTCTATAAAATGGAGAGAATAATACTGACTTATCAAAGCTGTTGCCGGAGGGGACTGAGTTTATGATTTATTTTGTACGTAAAAGGCATTTTGTCTGCCAATGTTGGTAGCTATCGTATGCCTAGTTTCTGAGACATTACTTCACATTTTAATATTTTTGAAATAAAGCTATGGCTCACAATTAATTGAAACATAAGCTGTGGGATGTTTTTTGAAACAATGAGGAAATCAGTTGTGGTTTGTATAACTGAAGTTTGAAAATTGAAGGATATATTGTAATCGTTTTTAAGCCTTATTTTCTTGTATTTGTAAGGATTCCTATTAATGGTAATTTTATGTGTCTTTTGAATTACATACAAAATTAAGAAAAGAATGAGAAAGAATAAGATGATGCAGCAATAGACAAAGAAAGAGCTGATGGTAAACTACATGACCACTCTGTCAGATTTCTTTTTCTCAACATGTGTGAGCTAGTTTTCAGGTTCAGAAATTCACTCATTTATGTGTCAAATAAGAAAGCATGTTATTACATAAAGTAAAATAAAATAAGTGGGAACATTTATATATAAATTATATATAACAATGTTATAGATTATATATATAATAAAATGTATTAAGTGGAAAGATTGAGAATGATCTGACCCCTTTTCAGATGACTATGGAATACAAAAACTTTGCAACCTTGTTTAGAAGTTTTTTAACGATATTAAGTGTTGCAGTATTTATAGGAGATATGAAAATAGATGAATGATGGACAGCATTTCTCAATAGAAAGGATGACAGTAGGTATTTTAAAATACAGGTTGGTTTTGCATTGGCGGCAGTTGTACTTATAAGCTCATGACTTTTCAAATGAAAAGGAACAATCACATTTAAATTGCAGATCTTTATACACAGAAACCTCATGCCAATATACCATGACCACTTGATTTATATTATCTCACAAATTTTCAAAACATAGAATAAATAGTATGTTAATAATTTCCAATATATTTAAAATCTTTAAACATAGGAAAAAGTACGTTGATTTCAAAATGTGATATACACAGAGTATTGAGACATATCTGTCATCTGCAAGATGTTTCAAAAGTTATTTCCATTTTTTATTCCTGTTTGAAATGATTTCTTAAATCCCCATTGGACTGGAACTAAAGAATAGCTTCTTGACACATTGTACTTTATTCTGGGGAAGTCTGTCATTTCATAAATCTATCTCAAATGACTTATGACAATGTTCAGAAATATAAAGAACTGTACTTTAAACTTGACAACTACTATTAATTTTTAAAACTGAGTGTTCGATATGTTTTAATTGGATTACCAAAAAAGAGACATAATAAGGCAGTTAACCTCATTTTTTTGTATCTACTTCTTACATCAATTTTAATTCAAGAACATAGATATCTGAACATTCATTGTATGATCAAAAAGTATAAGTAAAGTAGTGATTACATATTAAAATTGTAGAAAAACTACATTATTATTTATGTTTGTTAATGCACTAAAAAGCATGTTTTTCAACTTTGAAGCTCTTAGCAATAGCATAAAGGGTACTCTGCAAGGTAGAGACTACAGAAAGGGGAGAAAAACCAGCTTTTAGTTCCAATATAAATTAGGTGAAGAAATATGTACCAAGTATATAACATTTAGAGAAAATTCACAGCATAGTTTGTGTCTAGAGTTTCTGAATGAAAATTAGAAATCATTGCAGATTCTGGAATACTTAGAGATTCAGGAACCATCACTACATTACTCACTGGATGAAACTTTTTGATGGTCTGTGTAGAAAGCCCCCGTTAGAAATCATTACAAACCCCCAAACTGAGCATTTTGTCTAAATGGATGACTCTTATGCGATGCATTTGCGTTAAAGAATTTGCAACTCTATGCAATCGCAGTTGGAATAAACTCCTCTGGCCTGTATTTAGAGTTTTCCTCTCGGTGAACTTAGAGGACGCCCCAGTGTGGGAGGTATTACTGAAGGCAGACGTTCACATACTTGCCAATTGAGGAAAGCATTTTACGGATTTCACTTGTGCATCTGCAACGTCACCAATGGGTCCAAACGAACTCTTTAATCTAATGTTCATATTTGCCGGCTGCCACAAAATCTGGGCAACTATCACTTTAATAATTAAAACTCCGCAAGCCCTTTCTGTGGTTTTGACGTTTTACTATTCCAAAGGCATTCTTTATACGAAAAGAAAAGTACATCGTAGGACGTAGTTAACTATGAATGCTGAAATATTCATTTGTTTATTTGGAAAACTCTTCTGATGAGGAAACTGACAGAAGAAAATGGTCTAAATAGGGATAAATATCTTGCTTCCTATACCCATCTGTCTTATTTTTTTATTGGAAGCCTCTCCCGAGCTTAAAAATAAAAAAGAACATCTATTTTGGAGATGGGCAACACATTTTTTCCTAGCAGCAACTCAAAACATGATGAGTAATTTGGAAAGGAACTGTCAAATCTACCAGCTGCCTTGCTTAGGAAGCTGTCCTGCCCCGTTTGGTAACGTGTGTACCATATGCTGGATGCTGATTGCCTGGAGGATGAAACTGAAAGCCCAGTACTTCACGTGCAACTTGTTTAAAATAGCAACAACAAACTGACGATACACAACTTGATGGAAACTTCTAAGTATTTTCTAACTTAGTGACCCCAAAGCATGTTTCCTTTTGATGGAAGAATGGAACTGGCCACACAAGAATTTAGAAGTAATAAGAAGTACACATGTTTTTTGGCAAAATTCACCATTTAAAAATTATTTTTTAAAAGCAGCAGCCACTACTCTAGACAGAAATCTATAGGGACATTTTTTTTTAATATTTCAATGCCTTAACCACAGTAATTAAATATGCCATTTTAGAAAGTTCCATTTTATGAGTTGAAGCAAAGTTTTGTTAAAGCATGTTTGAAAGCAGTTTATTCTGAGACCACCAAGAAGTAAAAAAAAAAAAAAAAAAAAAGGTTTGTGATTGGAAAATTCATTCAAGATGAACTGTAAATCTGACGTTACTTAAAGAATAATGTAACAGATATTTTGATGCCCCCATCTCCCACCCCAACTTGAAATTTGGAAAATATAATGTGCTGTACATAATTTGATATTGGAACTATCACAGTTTTTTTTTAAATCAGAAAACTTAAAAGGTATTATGTATGAACCTTTTCATGTTTGGATGCACTTTTTGCAAAAGATGTTCTAAGTGTACCTTGAAAGGAGACCTAGACTTTTATTTCTTGCATCCCTTTTCTTTGGACAAGCTGGTACCCCATGACCTGAGGTAATCATCTCCCGCCTGAGAGCTCTTAATGTTTCCTGCACCTGGCGCTAATTAGCTACTTTATGCAGAGTCTCATTTAATTATTATTAAGCATCACGCTTTCCGTTGCTCCATATGTTTTGATTAAATGGTAGGTTTAAAAAAGACATTCTGTTTTATCTTCTATATTCCAACTGAGTTTCCATGATGTGAAAGGTTTAAAATATCTTAAGCTAATGTTCATTTCTAAAGTGAAACACAAGCGTGGGTTACTTCTCAGGCTGAGCTGGTTCTAGCCTTGTGTACGTGACAATGTCTGTCCACTGAACAGGAGGAGAGGCCAGGTATTAAATTACTCTCACACTTCTTTTTTTTTTTTTTTTTTCCTTTCAGAACTTGGTAAAAATGTTCTATTGTCTTGGTATTGAATGGTATTATAGTGAAGTCTGAAACTTACAAAAAATATAATTTTTTCTTGGCTGGGATGTTCTTTTACCATATGAATATACATGCAGTCCCTTCTTTCAAGTAACTTTGCTTAGT